ACAAGTTTTCAAAAGGAACCTTTAATCAGAGCTTGCTATGGACTGAATTATGTCCCCCCAGATTGCACATGTTGAAGCCCTAACCCTCAGGGTGACATGGCTTTTAGGGAGTAATTAGGATAAATGAAGCCTTAAGCATGGGGTCCCCATCCAATAGGATTGGTAGTGTAGTAAGAAAAAGAAGAGAGATCTCTCTTTCCATGCATACAATGAGGAAAGACCATGTGCAAACAGTATAAAGGCTGCTGCCTGCAAGCCAGGAAGAGAGCCCTCACTAGGACCTGACCATGCCAACACCTGGATCGCAGGCTTTCAGCCTCCTAAACTGTGAGAAATAAATTTCTGTGTGTAAGTCATCACACAGTTATGGCAGCCTGAGCAAATTAAGACAGAATTTTAAATATCGAAGTTGTTAAAACTGCATTTAAAGAGTTTTTAAAATTATAATAATATATCTGATTCAGTTGCATATTTTGAAAAGCCTTCAATTTAAATGAAATAAGCACATTTTTGAAAACTGATAAAATTGGCATGTGAAGCCTCAGATAGTTCAAACTTTGGTTCTCAAAGGGCAATCCCAACTTATATTTTTCTACAACGTGAATGTTTGCTCCAGAATTTCCACAATAAATTGATGATACCACCTCTGTAGAACTAAGAGGTACATCTGGCCAACCAGCCCTGGCCTCCCAGCCTGTGGATCTGTGTGGTGACTGGATCGCTGGTTGTGTTGATGATCAGTGGCAGACAGGCGGGCTCAGGGCATGTGCTCCGAGAGCACACCCCCCTTTAGCCATGCTGTGGGAGGTCCCCACTGTGCTCCTAGATGAATGGTGTCCACAACCTGGTGTGCTCAGGGGAATCCCTCAGAGCTTTAGCATCACCAGTGCCACCCCACACCCCAGGGTTCTGCTGCAGTCGGCGTGGGGTGCACAGGCAGCAGAACAAAGATCCCATTTTCTGTCAGGCAGCATTTACTGTCCCTGGGGCTGTTTTCATCTCTGTGGTTACAGCACGAGGCAAGACAGGCAACTCCTTCCCTCATGGACTTTATACACTGGTTGGGGAGACAACCCAAAAGTTAGCCGTGAATGCTTGTGTCCACCCCCCACTCAAATTCCTGTGTTGAAATCCTAACACCCAGTGTGACCAGATGAGGGGGTGGGGCCTCTGGGAAGTGACTAGGCAATGAGGGTGGAGCCTTTATAATGACAAGGTTAGTGCTTTATAAAAGAGGCTCCAGAAAGATCCCCAGCCCCTTCTGCCAAGTGAGGACACAGCAAGAAGTCGGCAGCCTGCAGCCTAAAGAGGGCTGTGACCAGGACCCAGCCATGCCAGCACCTGGTCTCATCCTTCCTGCCTCCAAACCGTGTGAAATCCGTTCTGTTGTTTATCAGCTGCCCCACACGTGGCGTTCATTATAGCAGCCTGAACGAGCTATGACATGAGTAATGGAAAAAGTGATGGTATAGCATTTGCAAAATCCTGGCATTAGCAAGAAGGTCAGAGATTGAGTGGACTGTGCCTTAGTGAATTTCCTCAAGTCAGTGAACTAGTCCTGTGCGATGGACACGTGGAAGCAGTCTGTGGCCTTACATGCAGGTTTGAATCGTAGCCAAGCTTCCTCTGATGCAGTGACTCCTAAATTAAATAGTGAAGAACTGCTCAGGGCACGGGAATTAAGTCTTTTTACAGATCGAACACAAAGGCATACCACTGTAGCTTGCTGGAGTCTCGAGTTGTGCCTTCTGGTTCAGTAAGCGGTTTAAGAAGGGCTGATGCAGGCACACAGACTGGGCATCAGCCAGCCGCCTTCCACATTGTGTGCCGAGCTGTGCCGTTCACAGGTGTCGCCGCCATATGTTCAGACATTTAGAGATTGGATTGGATTAACAAACTCATCCTTTCCAATGTAAACAGTCCTTTCAAATGGTAAAATCACTCTCCTCCTATAAGTTATTTCAGAATGATTGAATGATTTGGCTTTTTTATTACCTGTTAAGGTTTTTGGAGCCTTGAGGGAATGAGGTTTTAGTCCACAAAACAGTGATTTTTGAAGAATGGGGAACTTCCAGTGAGGGCTGCCCTGGGGTGGGGGCAGGGGAGGGGGCATAGCAAGGATTTGGGTAAAGGCATGTGGGGTGGAGGGAGGTGAGGAAGGAGCAAAGGAGAAGGGATTTCGAGGATGATATCAGACGGGAGCTTCCTCTACTTAGCGGTTTTGTGATGGCCCCACCTCTGTGCGTATCACTTTCTGCCTTGGGGCCTCCAATCTTCTGCCTGGTGGCCAGTTTGCAGAGTTACCTTCAGTGGCTTCCATGCAGGAACCCTCAGTGAAACCCAGAGCTGCCCTGAAAGTCCTACTGCACAGGCTTCCCTGCAGCCATTGCAAACAGCTCCACCAGTGGGAGAGCCAGGCCCCCACAGGCAACCTTGGGGCAAGGCCAGCAGACTGTTCTACAAGCCAGACATGGCGGCTCCATCAGGAGCAGGCCCGGACCCAACAGGGCCTTCCCAGGTCCCAGGTCAGAAATAGGTTTTGGGGGGAGTCCCTGAGTCAGCAAGACCCTCTCTCGGGTCTGGGCAGCCCACAAGACCCTGACACCTGGTGTGTCATAAGGACAACAGTGAAGCCATTTGGGTTTCAGCTGTTGGCACAGTAAAGTACTGGACTATGTTGTACATTTCAGGGCATTAAAATACTGTGCCCATTTGATAAATGTAGGAGTAATTGCCTACTTTTGCTTAGAAAATATAACAGCATAAAAATGTAAAAGGCAACAGTACTCTGCTTCTTTCTATTTCACTCTCTGGACTTAAATGATGGCCTGTCCTTTAGTTCCTAGTAATGATCGTTGTTAGGGTCTAATGTCACTTCCCTTAAACTTGCTGGTTGGTGTCTTACCAGATGAAATCTATGGGAACAGCTTAATCTCTACCATGATCGACAGCTGCAACTGCTCGGACTCCAGTGACATCGAACTAAGTGATGACTGGGCTGCCAAGAAATCTCCCAAAATCTCCCAAGCAAGCAAATCACCCAAACTCCCAAGGTAAGCTCCTCTTCGGGCTGTTTGCCCCTTGTGTTGTGTCCCTGGAGGCGAATGTGTTGTGCCTGTAGCAGAATCCCGTTGAAACCAGCTCCAGGAGAACACAGAGACCTGCACCCCCACATTCATCCGGAAGGTCGGCCTGCAGTGGCTACAACTTACCTTCTTTCTTCAGGACAGAAAAAGACACCCAGTGGGAAGTTTGCTAAACCCCAGGGCTTCTCTGGGGTCAGTGCTGGTGGCAGGTGGCACAGGGTGGCCAGAGCCCCCAGGCATACAGTTTGAGAAAGTTAGGAAAAGGTTTTGCAGTGTAGGTAATGTGTTGAAAAGATTGTCACATTCAATACCTATAATGCTGTAATTAGAGGGCAAATAGTAAACAAACAAAAACTTTAGACCCTACAGTTTATTTTAAAAATCGAAACGAGCTGTAAGAGTAGAAGGAAGGGCCCTGGTGTCACAGGTAAGAAGCATCACCTTTCTCATCCTGGCGTCACTACCCGTGGGCTGTGTAAGTGGACAAATCCTGACTGGATACTCATGTCATTCTCTGTAGAAGTTCATGGGTAGACCAGATCTTCACTAAGATAGAGACCTTCTAGCTTAAAATTCTGTGATGCCGTGCAAGATTAAAGTACAGGTTGCATACAGATACAGACCTGCCCAGATCTGAAACATGTAATTCATTGTGCAGCTGGTTAAGGCAGTTTTGTCACCACCCTGATGAAGTTAAAGAACATTCCATCATTCCAAAAGCTCCCTGTGCAGTCTCCCATTCGATCCCCACTCTCTAGAATAATCACTGTTTTAACTTCTGTCACCATAGACTAATTTTGCTTCTACTTGACCTTCACATAAATGGAACCAAACAATACATGCTCTTTTATTTGACTCCTTTGCTCATTATAATGATTTTGAGATTCACTCATGTTGTTGTGTCTAGCAATAGTTTTTTGTTGCTGTGGAATTCCACTATAATGAATATACTACAATTTGTTTACTCCATTTACAAAGTCATGGGTTTTGGTAGTTTACAGTTTGGGGCTATGATGAATTAAACCATTATAGACCTTATTTTTTTTTATATAGACCTTTTTTATATATATATATAGACCTTCTTGTACACATCTTTTTGTGGACAGGTGTATGCGTTCATCTGAGGCATGTGCTTAGAAGGGAAATTGCAGGGCCTTGGGGTAGCTGTGTGTTCAACTGTACTGGAAACTGCCAAACAGTCTTCCAAGGGGCCTATACTATTGTGGGTTCCACCAGCAAAGTATGAGAGTGCCAGCTGCTTTCCTTCTCACCTACAATTGTATCGCCATTTTTTAAAAATAATTTTACCCATTCTGGGGGGTGTGCAGTGTCATTGTAGTTTAGTGACTGATGATGCTAAAAGACTCTTACATGTTTATTGGCCATTTGAGCATCTTCCTTTGTGAAGTGTCTATTCAAGTCTTTGGCCCATTTTTTATTGCATTGTTTTGCTTCTTTTGAGTTGTAAGATTCTTTATGTATTCTAGCTATGACTCCTTGTCAGACATGTGCACTCTCATGTAGTCTAATGCATATATGAATTTCTTCATTGGGGTGGGTCTTTCTTTGCCATGGTTCGGAGACCTGTGTCCACCGTGAGGTGGAGACACTCTTCCATTCCCTTCCAGAAGCTTTGTCATGTTAGCTCTCACTTGGATCTCACGTTAATTCTGGTGTGTAGTGTGAGTTGGAGGTCAATGTTCATTTTCCCCATATAGATAGCCAGTTGCTTCAGCAATCTGGTTGATTTTTTTTCATCTTTGTTCTAAGCTTGTTAAAATTACGAATAAAATTATGAACTTTCCTACACTTCTATAGTGTTTTGGGTTTTCTTGTAACTTAAGCAGAGAGGACATGTAACAAAAAGTGACTAAACCCTTCACCTATGAAGGACCTTTTAAGATTTCTGGATGTTGCCATTCCCATAGTTCATCCTCCTTCCTTCCGTCTTTCCCTGCGTTGAGTCCCCTACATGCAGCAGGCAGGCTAATCAGCTCACACAGGGCTTTCACCAGCTCAGTCCCCATGCTCCTGTCCTGTGGATGCTGGTGTCTTATCGGGCTCAGTAGTAATGGGAAGCGTAAGGCCTTTCTTTCTTAGAATGTCATCAACCTCGCCACGTTCATTTTTATAACTCTCTCTTTGGGTTAGACTGGCAGACCACAGATGGAACATAGAACCAAAAGGCTGCAGAGCCCTGGCTGATTTGGCTAGTGGATAGACCATCCACCCACAGACTGAAGGGTCTTGGGTTTTATTCCAGTCAAGGGTACATACCTCGATCGCAGGCTTCAGCCCCAGCCCCAGGTCAGGGCGCATGTGGGAGGCCGCCAATCATTGTGTCTCTAACACTTACGTTTCTCTCTCTGTGTCTCTCCCCATCCTTTCCCATCTCTCTAAAAATCAATGGAAAAATATCCTCCAGTGAGGATTAACAAAAAAAAGGGGGGGGCGGGCTTCAGAAAAACTTGCATTCCGCTGAAATATTTAATTTAAATATTGCAGGCCTGAAATGCTAGGTCTGTTGAAATCCAGTGTTGTACTAGGAATTGTAAGATGATTGTGGTCATAAGGTGAGAAGTGACTCTTCCCACCTGCCATTTCCTTCGAGACTGATTTTGTAGACCCCTGGCAGAAGATGTGGACATTTATAAATTTACCGTAAGTCAGTAGAAAGTGAAAGATAGTTAATTCTCTGCGATTCCTTACAAATGAATTGCTTAATCTAATCTCACTATCTTTTAAAATATGGGTTATTCAGTATATAATTCTGTCCTACTTTTCTCCTGTTCATGAAGCAAAAACAGGTGGGAGGGACTTGGTTAAATCAAGGGGCCTGGCTCCTAAGAATGTGACACCCGTGGGTGACTGCTGGAAGGCGAAGGGGCACACCAGGAGTGCGGGTGCCTTCCGGCCAGGGTGGCACACGCCTCCCATGCGGTGGGTGCCTCACCCTCCCGCCTCGCCTCTGCAGGATCAACATCGAGGCTCGGAAGTCACCCAAGTTGTCCCGGGCCGCTCAGGAGATGTCCAGGTCCCCTCGGTTGCCCATGCGCAAGCCCTCCATTGGCTCGCCCAGCCTGACGCGAAGAGAGTTTCCCTTTGAAGACATCACTCAGGTAGCATCTGGGTTCCGGGTTGGTCACATGTACCTGATGCGCCACAGCTCTTTCCCCTCCCCAGTGTGGGCTCGGTGACGGCCAGGCCCTCGCTACCCCCACCCCAGGCCTGTCCCTACGACTCCAGACACCAGTTAGATCATGAGAGCCCCATGGGTCCTCCTCACCACCCCTGCCTTCAGGCAGGCCCATTGCTCTGCTCCACCTCCCACAGGACGTCCTTGCAACCTTAGACGCCTCCCTCTCACCCCCCAGATGACACAGCCACACCTGCCTCTTCCCGCCTTTGCTCTGCCTTGGCCACCGGGAGCCTGCGCACTCCCAGACCTACCTCCCCCTCCTCGGGAAGGCTTTCCCCTGCCTGGCTCAGCACAGGGACTGCAGAGCCTCTAGTTCAGAACTCCCTGTCACTTTCCCCAGTGACTTCCTCGTGTGCACACCATCCCTGGCCCTCTCGTCATCAGGGCATAGGCTCTGTGGGAAGCTGTGTTGTAAACAGTTCGTTGCCTTTGGATACACACACACGCAGGCATGGCTAGGCACAGAGATAACTTTTTTTTTTTAATGTTATCACACAAGTAGTTAGCTGAACTTTTACAATACGCAAAAAACCATGTTTGAGGCCAAGCGTCTCTGCCTAGCTATGGAATTGTGCTAGACAGAGATAGTTATGCATCAGTTGCTTTAAGCAGGGGGAACAGAGATAACTTTTAATTATTTTTAACTTCATTGACTGAGAAAACAGATCATGGGATAGTTTCAGGAAGGGTCAGGGCAGCTGATGTTTTTAGAAGAAACATCAGAGATAAAAATGGATTCAGAGCCAGGTACCGTCTCTCGTTCAGTGACTGCGGAAAGGCGAGGTGAAGGTGAATGTGCCCAAATCCCACTGTGGCCTGTGGTCTGACACCCACGCAGACACACTGGGACCTGCCTGCCTCTGTAAACCAGGGCTGGCCGGCTGCGTCGGCTCCTGCTCTCCACAGTGGTGGGCCAAGTGGGGGAGGAGCGTTTCCGTGGGAGCACCTGTGGCTTTCTCAGCAGTGTTAGCATTCCTATTGACAGGAAATGTGGCGATAGACAGTAAGTTTCTTCCCCTCTTTTCTTCCACAGCACAACTATCTTGCTCAGGTCACGTCTAATATCTGGGGAACCAAGTTTAAGATTGTGGGCTTGGCTGCTTTCCTGCCAACCAACCTCGGTGCAGGTAAAAACATGTCCTGTGTTTGGCCCCATGTCCTAGTTGAAACTCAGACTGAAAAAACAAAGTCAGTTTTCAGTGGGCTAAAATAGAAAATGAGCTCATATGACATCGAAGGATTAGCATGAAACTTCGACTACAGCTACTGTGATGTCACAAAAAAATCAGAATAATCACTCAGATTGGTTTTTGCCAGTGGTGCTTTCATTTTTTAAAATATCATCCCTGCCCTGGCTGGTGTTCTCCGTGGTTAGAGCACCGGCCTGTATTCCAAAGGGTCTCAGGTTCGATTCCCAGTTAAGGACAAGTACCTGGGTTGCAGGTTCGATCCCTGCCCTCCATCAGGGTGCATGAGGGAGGCAGCCAATCAATGTCTCTCACATGGATGTTTCTCTCCCTCTCTTTCTCCCCCTCCCTCCCACCCTTCCTTCCACTCTCTCTGAAAAATCAATGGGAAAAATATTCTCTGGTGAGAATTAACAACAAAATCATCCCTAACTTATAAAAATGACAGAAATAGCTGAAATCTCTATCAAAGATCTCAGATTTTTTATAGACTTCCGTTTTTGTTTTTGTTTTTATTTCTGGCCATTCACTGTGAGCAGGTTTTGGTACCAGTATCTTTAAGTCCTTGAAGAAAGCATTAGACTATAAGAAGCAGCTGGCTGACTGTGAGCACAGCTTAGTGGTGAATCTTCAAAGATGTCATTTCTAAGTAACAAGTCAATATCTTTTCATGAGAGGAACACGTGAATAACCCTGTAATGACCACTGGATTGGAAAGTCATCTCAGCCAGCGCCACAAGCACCAGCCTTACAAAGGAACTTCAGAAAGAAGGCCTGCTGTGCCATGGGAATGCTGGCCAGTCAGCCACAGGCCAGGACAGTGATAGCTGTGGAGGTGGAACCAAAGAAAAAAAATGAACAATAGTAGTAAATAGTAGCTCACAGGAAGGAGTATTAAACAGAGTTGACAGGCAATTTCATCCTGATTTTAACCTACAGATTCATTATTTTTTTTTAATTTATTGATTTGAGAGAGAGAAACATCGATTTGTTGCTCCATCCATCCATGCGTTTATTGGTTGACTCTGGTATGTGCCCTGACACGGGATTGAACCCCCCAACCTTGGCATATTAGGATGATGCTCCTACCAAGTGAACCACCTGGCCAAGGCCAGATTCATTATTTTTTTAAACTTATTTTGTCTCCTCTAAATATTTTAGTTGCAATTTGGCTTTCTCTTAAATATCTCTGTTAATTAAATTAATCTTAGAGTTTAAAGAAACCATGTGGAAGTTCCTGATAAATCTCTATACTGATCATGAAATTGAAAGTTATTAAGACAAGAATCCAGTCCTGAATAAAGGCAGCATTTTATTTCTACCTGATGCACGTCACCCCTTATCATCTCATAGTTGCTCTCAAACAGCTGCGTGGTTGCCCAAGATTGTCCTGAGCTTGGCAGTCTGGTTATCACAACTATTTTCACTAAATCATCTTTCCGATTACAAGTAAGCTTTTTAAAAATGTCTGTCATAACCCCAGCTCACTCCAAAAAAAAGAATTTAAGTCTCAGATAGGTTTTTAACATTCTAAATGTGTGGTTCTAGAGACAAACCATTGACAAAGTGGTTGGTTTAGACCAAAAATGTGGTGTCCGTGAACCCAGACTGTGGCTGGGGTGGCTGGTTGTGCCCCAGGAGAGATGGGGAGCTGCTCTCAGACTGGCCTGCGTGTGCAGACGGTCTTTGGACGGCAGGGGTCCCCCCTCCCCCGCCCTTTCTCTGGCTGTGACCCTGTTGGTGCCTTGGCTGTCGTCCTTATGTCTCTACTGACTGTCTCCTCTCCTCCCACCAGTAATCTATAAAACCAGCCTCCTGCACCTCCAGCCGCGGCAGATGACCATCTATCTCCCGGAGATCCGGAAGGTTTCCATGGACTACGTGAACCTGCCTGTCTTCAACCCCAATGTGTTCAGTGAAGACGAAGATGACTTACCAGGTGTGCTCACACAGGACACCTAGTTGTCAGGGCCCTCTCTCAGTGGGTTGTGAAAGAACCTCCTTGGGAGCCTCCCAGGTAGGATCAGAAAACGGCCCCTTACTTGGAGGGCAGAGAGAGACCATAGAAAGGCAGGCCACTCCAGATGGGTCGGTGGCAGTTTTAATGAGCGAGGGGACTTAAGAGGCTTACCTTGGGCGGCTATAAGACTGGCAGATTCCACTGCCAGAATCTTAAAAGTTTATGTAGAGGCCCTAATGGGTCAGTCACATACACCATCCAGCTTATACATTTTCAAATATCTATAGTGTTTTCTACTGGGAGATCCTGTTTTGGTTAATAGATTATAATGATTTCTAATTAGTCTGACAATTATTTGTATGTAACTATTCTCAAAAAAATCCACCTTCAATTTTATAAACGCTGTAGAGACTCCTCTATGTCTATCCAAGCAGGTTCTGAAAGTCCCTGGTTTCTGAGCCAGAAGAAACCCCACATTCTCCAGATCTGGTCGTTCCGAACAGCGGGTCCTCGTGGTGGAGCGGAGAGGGACATGCACCCGCCTCGGCTCTGAATTGGGGGCGTGGTTGACCTTCTCTCAGCCCAGGTTTTTACTGTAAAGTGACCTGTGCTTTCTGACAGGAGCCGTCCGAGGTAGAGCCCATGCTCTGGATGGCCACAGTCCTAATAGCGGGGCTTGCAGCCACACTCACCTGCAGTGTGCGGAGGTGCCACAGCTTGCGCTTCCTGGCACGTCCCCTGCTGTTTCGGAATGTGGGGTTTAGAAGTCTCTCTCAGTCTCCCGAACGTCCTCCCTGCTCTCTGATGCTCAGCCCTTTCTGCTGCTGTGGTTCCCAGTGAGAGGAGGGAACATTTTGTCTCAGGACTTACACTCAATGCTGGTGACACGGCAAAGAGACTCCCCTTTAGCAGGGACGATGCCTGCCCGAAGTGTTCCATACAGATGAAAGGAGGGGTTTGAAGAGGGACAATAGGAAACCCCTGACAGGACCCAGACCCCTGCAGCCGGGCGAGAGTTACATCTCACTAGAGGACTACCTCAGGGAGGGGCCATCTCTTACAGCAACCAAGGTGGGCTTAGCTTTTAATGAACCAACTGGCTTCATTCTGTAATTCTGGTGAAAGGCCAGCCAGCCTTTACAGTGACCCTTTTAATTCTATTTCCTGCTCATTCTGGTTGGCACACAGCACTCAGGGAGGCCCAGGTAAGCAAAGTTGCTCACAGCCACTTTAGACAGGGCAGACGGAATGGGGGCTCTGGGCACCTGCCAGTATCTGCCGGTCATTGCTCAAGAGTGTACCCTAACTTCTCACCACTCACAGACAGGATATGCTAACCCCAACCTTACATACTGTTTGAAATGCTAAACAGCAGATAAATTAGGAAATGAGCCTTCCCCTAATACACAGATTGCTGTGTGTTCTTTTTATTGGTTTCTATACTCCATTTTACATGTTCTATTACAGGAACTTAATTTACATAGAAATTTCAGATACACGTCTGCTGTTTGCTACAGGCACATTCCACATTGACCAATACCCATGGAGAAACCTCCTCAGATTATCATGAGTACAAAGCGTCTTTAAACAATTAAGTATTTGCCATGGTACCATTTGAGCACGTGGTGCCAAATTGAGAAGGTTCAAAAGTGTATTCTTTGAAAAGCCCTGCCAGTGCCTTTAGCTAATGGGTGAGGACAGGCTGCCTTCAGGACCTACCAGTGGCCTGGTGCCCTTCCAGAAACACCAGAGAAGCTTCATGTAACTTGTGTGAACAGATCAGCTTTCCCCCAGCAAAAGCATGTCCATTTCATTGCATTTGTAGACAAAGGTCTGGATGAGTTGAGAGGTGTTACTTATTCCGACCCAGTTCCATGGTACTATCTGTGAGCAGCTTGTTTTTCTCACTTCCTTCCAGTGACGGGAGCATCTGGCGTGCCTGAGAACAACCCACCTTGTACCGTGAACATCCCTATCGCACCCATCCACAGCTCAGCGCAAGCCATGTCCCCCACGCAGAGCATCGGGCTGGTACAGTCCCTGCTGGCCAATCAGAACGTGCAGCTGGACGTCCTGACCAATCAGACCACGGCCATGGGCGCAGCTGAGCACGCCAGTGAGAATGCCACCCAGTACCCGGTCTCCAACCGCTACTCCAGCCCTGGACAGGTGATCTTCGGGGGCGTAGAGATGGGCCGCCTCATCCCGAACCCCCCGCAGCTGTCCCTGCTGCCACCTGCACAGGCGCCCGTCCAGCTGTCGGTGGTGGAGCACGGAGACCGCGAGCACGAGCACCTGCAGAAGCCCGCCAAGGCGCTG